AAAAAAAAAAAAGAAAGAAAAGAAATGCATAGTCAGGGAACTTGGCTTAGAATTATGGTTCCAAAGCAGGTGACATTAGGCAAGCATGTAACTCCTCTAAACCCCAGTTCCCTCATATGAATAATTAATTAAAATGGCTCTTTCCCCAGGTTATCCCAGAATCAGAAGATACCATGAATATGAACATGCTTTGTAAGCATTGAAAGCAAAATACATATATTTGGGAAAGTTATTCCTATTCTGTTTTTTAATAGAGCCAAACAAAAGAGCTTTAAAACAAAGAACCACAAAAGCAGAAACCATCCGTCCGTGTCACGTATGTAAGGCTCAGGAAAAGTCCAGCCCAACCTGTTGGCGTAGTTCAGGCAAAGGATGAGAAGGGCCTGACTGAGGACGGTGTCAGCCAGGATGGGGGGCTGGCCTTGGTGTCAAGAGATATTTAAATGAGAAGATTAGGAGAAGGTTAAGATGGGAGGGAAATGGGAGGTGATGCAGAAGGCATAATCTAGGATGCCCCCCAACCAGGTTCCTGATCCGGGGATATAGGTGGTACCAGTCACTGTGCTAGGGAACATGGAGCAGCACGCTGAAGTGGAAGGAAGGCAAGTTTACCTTGGGACCATCCAAGTAAAGATGCCAGTAGGCTGCTGGATAGAAGAATCTAGAGATCTGGACTAGAGATCATGATTTCAACATGGCTTTAAGCCACTGGATGGCTTTAAGCTATGTTATCTTTAGACCAGAAGTCAGCAAACTCCCTGTAAATATTCATGCTTCGTGGGCCCTATGGTCTCTGTCGCAACTAATCCACTCTAGTGTTGTAGTGGGAAAGAAGCAAAAGACAGTGCATGAACAAGTAAGTGTGGCTGAGTTCCAATAGTACTTTATCTACAAAAGCAGGCAGTCACCAAAATTGGTCAAAGGGCTGTAGTTTGCTGCCCTCTGGTTTAGATCGCGTTCACTCTCCCAGTGACTCTGCAGGAGGTATCATCATGCCTTTCACTTACAACTGTGACTAATAAAACACATTTAAAAATCACTAGCATGTTTATAGCACTTCCATAAACATCACCTGATTCATTCCTCAGCGGAGCCCTCTGAAGTATTTTTATTATTCCTGTTAAACAAAGATGGCAGATAAGTTAGGGAAGTTAATGACTCGCTGAAACCATAAGATCTTCCTGCGATGGGGCTAGGATTTGAAGCTAGACCCAGATTAAGTAACTCAGGGGTACTCAACCAGACTGGGACACCTGC